ACACATCGCGGTGAGGGAAATTCTGGCCGCCAGGTTCCGTCGCCAAATCCCTTGGCAAATTTTCCCTCCGCATTCTAGCAGCGTAATAGCATTTTACTTGTATGGAAATTTTTCTTCTTTACATAGATCAAAGAATTAGAGATTCTTTGCATAGATGTTTTTTGGTTAAAATAATCTCCATGTGTGGATTTGGCGACATGATGATGCGCAGTAAACGGGTCATTTTGGTCTTGGCGACAATTTTCAAAATCGTGCCAAAGCCTTACCGTATACTAGAATTTTACCGCAAAATCTTTTTAAACTTTTCTTTTTAATAAATACCTTGCCATTTTGCAGTAAAATAAGCAATAGTAATCTGTCATCTAGGCTAACCATGTAATATAACTATATTCGCTAAAATATCGTTGATTATTCTAATTCAATTTTTAAGTAATTATCTTTATTTTTATGTTATTCGTATAATTTAATGATGCTTCTTCCCTCTAAATTTATTAATTATTAGTAAATAATATTTCTAAATTTCAGGAAATTTTCTCTGGCATAATCTTGAAATTAATTCTAGCAGTATGATGACATACCATCACGAAATTTAATGCACATATTTTTTCTTATGTATGCTGCGAACTAAATATAAAATACCTCAATTTATTAAAATAGATTTCTTTGTTTCGTTTAGCTGCAGAATGTCTGCAAAAAAAGCCTTATTTTATTCCAGATTGGGGAGATTCTAATCTCAATCTTCAATGGAGAAAACAAGAACTATTATAATTATATTTGTGTTTTCAAGTGTTAAGGTGCTTTTTAAGAACATACCTCACACAAATTAAATTTACCTAAAATCTAACCTAACTATTTAGCATTGCATTGTGATTTATAAGGACCGGATTAGCCTCGTGTTGAACTGGTGATGATCATCATGAGTAATAATTAAATAAAACATACATTTGTTATCCAATGTATATATCTTAAATTTTATTAAGTTTCTTAAGTGGAAAAGTAAACAAAATTATCAAACAAAGTATGCCAAGAATAATTAAGAATAAATGTCCTCTGGGATTTATTGAATAATTAAGTGAATTTGCTGCACAATACAAGTAATACCATAATTTACCTCTTAGCGTAGCCAACGTACATTACGCGGATAGACTGGAATTTTCTTGAAACGCACCTGGAAAACCTGGAAAAGTCAGGGAATTTCATTCTCCTGTTTGAGTGGCAACCCTGTATGGGGCAAGGACTGGCAATTCAAAGTGATGGCGTTTTAATGCACCGGCTACATTCGAATGCCTCATAGAGACTGTGTTGAGAGGTCCTTCCTACGAAGCCTGCCTGATATACCTGGATGATATCATCATCAGCAATAGTTTTGAAGAACATTTACAAAATCTTAGAAAGGTGCTTCAGAAACTGAAGGAAGCTAGCCTGAGGTTAAGTCCCACCAAATGTAAATTATTCAGATGGGAAGTGACTTACCTCGGACATATCATCTTTGCTGAAGGTGTGTTTACAAATCCAGAAAAAATGTCCGCAGTTGAAGATTAGAGACACTCCGAAAATGTGCATCAGCTGAGAAGTTTGCACCTACTATAGGAGATTTGTGATGGACTTTTCTTCCATCACAAGACCACTTCACAAGCTGACAGAGAGCAAGCAAAAGTTTTTGTGGACAAAAGAATGTGAAGATGCATTTAACAACCTGAAGGAAGCTTTTAACATAAACTTCAATCCTGACGCATCCTCAGCTTGAAAAACCATTTAATCTCGACACAGATGCAAGTAATGAAAGTATCTGTGCTGTTTTGACCCAAGAAATCAAACTGGAGCAGGTGCCTATCTAACCTACCTAGCCTACCTGGCCTAACCTGGCCTACTGGAGCAGGTGCCTATCTAAACCAGAGAGGAATTACTGTGTCACCAGGAAAGAATTTCTTGCTATAGCTAAAATTGCAGAGCATTTGTACCATTACTGTGAGGCAGAAATTTTCTGCTTCACAGAGATCATACATCGTTGACCTGGCTTTTAAATTTCAAGAATCCTGAAGGCACAATACACCGAGACTCGAGGAATATGACATTACCATCCGCATTGGAAGGAATCATCACATAGAAACGCTGACACCATGACTAGAAGACAAATACTCACGATCGGTACCCACTGAACGAAAGTGCATGTGACAAAAGCCCACTGTGTGCTAATTGCCCACGCGACAAATACTCACACCGATGAAAGTGCACATTGATAAAAACCCACACCAATATATATGCTACATTAAAATTAATATTTTTCCCTTTTTTCTTCAGCTATACAAAGCAGATTTATGAATAAAGATAAAATAAAAAAATTAATTAAATTAAATTAATAACAAATAATTAAACAATAAATTTAAGTAGTGGAACACATTTCAGTTTGGGCTCGGGCTGAATTAAAATCCTTTATGTGTATAAAACAGGGTGTCAATCAAAATAATGTAATTAAAAACATATGCATGTATGTGTAACTTTGCTATTATATTTACACAACAAAAGGAAGTGTCCTCATATAAGTCCGACAAAGGAAGGGAATACTAGGCACACTGCTTCTTTTAATTTTATAAAATGTATGTAAATTTTCATCATATATAGAGAATAATTTAACAATTCAGAAAATTTTGCATATAATGAATTTAATATGGAGAATTAAAGCTAAACTTTTATTTCAACGAAAAAGGTATAAGTACCGTATTTTATGGTGATTGAGAAAACATTTGTGTGGCTATCAACAAATGCTGTTTTAATAATGAATTAAAATCACGTTTTCAAATAATCTAGTTAAATTTTGACAATTTCGATTTTACATAAATTAATTTCATTCCCTCTTGAAATTTCGTTTTTAATAATATTAATAATTATTCTTAAAATATTTCAGAAAATCATAGCTATTTTGGATTTCCTGTGTTATTAGTGGGCATTCATCTTGTGGGCTTTTGTCATGCAGTTTTCCAACTGGCTATTCAAGCGGAAAACCATTGCGTTCTTTTTCTTTTGCCCCCAGTTGAGTGAAAAAGCAATTAAACAGAGGACAGCCTTGCTTAACTGCTTTATCCCCTATTGAACCTGGGGTGCCAAAGAACGGCCTTAGAAGGTTGGAGGTGGCTGGTGAGAAATAAATTAAAGAGGATTTTAGATATTTTTTATTAGTTACCAGAAAATAACAATATCTGAAATTCCACTTATAATTGAAGTTAACCCCTTTCTCGCATTTTCTTTGATCTAGTTCTTGAATAATTTTTATATAAGAATTTAGCTAGAATTTCAATTATTTTAAAAATTTTCAATAACTGGAAAACAAAAGGAATTAAATATTACTGAAGATGATTTGAAAATATTTCTTAACCATTTCAAAGGGATAATTCACTTTTTGCAGTAAAACTGCAGAGTGGAAAAATATGCTAGTTCTTGATTGGATAGTGTCTCTAATAACTTTTTGATGAACTAAATAAACATGTTTGTTATATCGAAGCAAAATCATTGTTTAAAAGTAAAACTATTGAACTATTTCTAAAAAATTAAATTATTACATATAATAAAATTTTTTCATTTTTACTTTCGTATGGTTGAAAATGGATTTAGCTATTTGAATAATTTTAATAATGAACGATTCTGAATTCAAGAACAAGAGGATTTAAGAACTCTGAGCCCAGCATTGTAAGAAAAGTAATCTTACACATTAAAAATAAATTTTATTTCAATAAAAAATGTTATGTTATTTGATTAACTGTAAAAACTAAACAAAAAAGTTCATTTTATTTTACCATAATTATTTATGTACAAAAACTTTCAGTGAAACAAATTTAAAGAGCATTTAGAAACTGAATTTCATTGAATTCTGGGACTGAATTTCACTGGAACACTTCTTTTGTGTGTTTTATGCTGTTATTGCATGTTAAATATTATTTCACCTAGATTAAGATAAAGAAACGCATATCATGTAAAAATTTATTACTTAGAAAAAATATCGAATTAAGGTATTTTCTTCATCTCAAAATGCATTGTTTTCCCTATACAAATTTCATATTCTGACAACACAGAAATAGTGGCCATATAACTCATAGGAGATATTTCTTATAAACCTCCTGTGTTGGCGATCCAGTAGAAAACATGCATAATTATGGAGCTACATTTTGAGAAATTTTTTCCCTTAGTGAATGAGTTCAAAAGTTTCTAATATCTTGCTTTCTAGCATGAAATGTTTCACCAGTTTTTAATGCTAATAATGCCAATAATAATAATAATATAATAAATTAAATAATAATTCATTAAACAGAAGTTGGTAAGAACAAGTAAGGTATAATTCAAATTTGCTCTCTTAGGTTTATTAGGTCTGGCTACAAAAAAAATTTTTTTTGAATTCAGCTTCCAATTTTAAACATAATTATTTTTAAATGTGTGTTTTAACTTTTATTTTAAAAAAACATGCACGTAATCCGAGGTTTTATGTAACAAAAGTTAGTACTATAAAAGAGGTATGACAAATTAAATTATCTGTACATTCAGTCACTATTAAAAACTAATTCAAATGACCCTTGCTACTTTGACATTAGCTTTTGAGTTCTAATATTTATTAAATGTTTCCTTTTGACAAATGTATTCCAAGCAAATAATGAATTTCAGTCATGTTCAAGAGATGTTTTTTTTTTTAAATTTTGTTCCATTTTGTGCTATATAATGTCCATTTTTTAAATTTCACACACTCCTAAATAAATAGAACCACTCTTCCTCTGCTTTGACAGAAAATCAAAATGTAGCAAGGACAGTTCTATATCTCCCGTTCTACTGTGCCGATTGACAACATTCAACTTGCGTTTTTTATGTCTTGAAAGCCCGACTTAGGATATGTATTAGATTTATGTATAGTATTGTTCTAATATAGGTATTTTGGCATAAAATCAGACTCTTTCTGAAATAACATAATTTTTTTTTTTTTTTTTTTTTTTTTTTTTTTTTTTTTTTTCCATTTCCAGTTCTACGTCTCAAATTACACCAAACTACCAATTATGTGAAAATCGCATGAGTAGTTTTTAAAAAATTAGCTCATCAGTGTTAATCAAGTTTGGTATGTATTTATTAATCTCTCTTTTTTTATTTATTTGATTCTTCCCTTAACATTTCGAAATTCAGGTTCATTCCAAATAAAATTCACCCATTTTTTGATTTATTTTTAAAATTTGTATTTTTAAATAATTTTTATAAATTTTTCAAAAAAAATTTGAATTATAATCTATAAAATTTTTACCATCATCTTAAAGTAGATGTATTTCTAAGCATATCTGCAAAAAATTACAGTTTTTTATTCAAAATTTATGAAGATATACGTGAATTTATATATTGGTGCATTTTGAAATTTGGCATATTTGTTGAAAGTAATAATCAAATGTGGTTTAGACACTTTGCCTAAAATTATTTGAAAGTAGAAATGATGTGACTTTTTCCCCCATTGATGCACAATGTAAAAAGGTAGGTACAAGGCAGAACTTAGAAGAGAAGGACTAGCTCATAGAGCTTTTCCCCCTGAAGCAGAAAGTGAGAAGTGATGACGTAGCCATGATGACACTGAGCGAGCCAATATAATTCACAGCTTGGAAATTAGTGTTTTTGAACCAGCATTTAAAATGAGCTGTGTGTGAAAGATAGCTATAATTTGGAAGAGACAATGTTACTGCTTTATGCATTTTAGACTGAACCATTAAAAAATTTAATAATGCTTACTCAATTTTAAAATAATAGATAAAATGTGCTACTCTTTTAACATAAAGTTCCGTCGTTTTTTTTATTTTTATTTGCAGGTTTTTTTATTTAATGCACGTTTATTTCTAATCGTTTCTTTATTTGCATGCTAACTGAGAGAATTTTTATACTGCTTCTAAGATAAAACAACTTTACATTGACATAGGTTTAAACATATATGACATATATGGCAACATTTCTGCTAACCTACGTTTGATTTTTTGCCTAATTCTAAATTTTACATTGTTATAATTCTCTTCCGATTCAATATAATAGATATTTTTTAAATAATTTTGTAATTTATACTTATATCTATATTACAATTAAATAAATGTATGTAAGATGGTTACCTTAATTTTAACAAAATAGCTTTATTCAGAGTACCTAAAACAGTTATTTAATTTTTCAAAAAGTGTGAGTAAAGGAAGCAGGTCTTTTTATGTCAATTACTTTGATGTTTTCTACTATTATATTTTATCTAGAATGCTAATCTAGCACAAAATCTAATCAATAATTAGTTACAAAGGATACAATAAGAATAACTTTAACAAGTACTTAACAAAATTAGTTTGTTAAATACTTGTTATTCTTGTTGGTACTATTTTGGTACTATTCATAATACCGAAGATATTATCGATTAACTCATAGAAGTCAGATGCTTTCTGAATTTCTGTGGGGTAGAGTATACCTTTTGCGGTACTTTTTGAAAATAATGTTTTCTCTGAGTGACTTTTTGTCTCTCGTTTCCCTTGACCATTAAATAATTTGGTTTTAGTTTGTGATACAATTTGATTTCTTCTCAATCTCTATTTAAAACGTCTTTAATAATATCAAAATTTAAAACAGTTACATCTTCTAAAACAAATCCTCTATCTAAAATGCGGTTTCTCAGTAATTTGAGGCAGAGCGTGAAATGAGACCTCTGATTAAAACAAACTGCACATTTTGAAAAGAACCAACTTAGTCCAGTTTAGAGTCATAGCAGAGTTTTCAATCTATATGCATTTCGTCGAAACTGAGAATGTATATTTTTCTACAGAATACAAATATTCGCCTCTTTCCTTCTTTAGAGTAAGAACATTACTTTGAATTCTTGGACTACACTAAAATTTAGAAAACACTAAAAAATAAAATAAACACCATTTCTTTAATTTGATAATATTAGGTAAAGATATTCCAATTTTTTTCCTAATTTTTTTTCTTTCCAAAAATCATAGCTTTAAGATGACAGAGCTCTTATGACGATGCAACATGAAATATTTTCACTAGTCCACCTGATTTTCTTTTTCAGTAATGCATTAATCTGCGTCTGTATAAAAATAGGCTTTAGACATTTTTCCAAATTGTCTGATTTGTGCTCCCCCCCAAATTTCGCTATTTGAGATTTTAATTTCTGATACCAATTTCTGTCTAGATGTCGTCCACCTTCTTTGTCGCTAAACAAACATTCTAAAATTTATCTTTTCTCTATTTTTCAATACTTTAATACAATTTAATACAATTTTCTAAGGATATTATTTTGTTCTTCAAATTATCAATGCATTCTTGTTTATCCTTAAACATTCAGGATGATCTACATTTTCATTTGTGAGTTTTATTTCAAAATCATTAAAATTTGATTTATTATTGTCATCATAATTTACTTTCGGCACAGCATTCCATTTCAACAGTTTCTTTTTGTGGCTATCGAAACAAGCGATTTTTCATATCATCTTCATAAACACTGCATAGAAAATGTTCGCTGCAGATTTTTGACATTTGTGTATCCATTCTTTCGTCAAAAGCAAACTCTCATTTGGATCCTTTGGTCCCATGAAATAAAATATCTCATCCTTTCATACTTCTGTAAGTGCTACGGTACGTTACTGCAGCGCAAAAAGCCATATTATGTAAACGATACTTTACAATATAAGAATTTGAAATAAAAAGTGACTAAATTTACATATATATAAATTAATTTAAATATATACATTATTAGAAAACAGATATATATATTATTAAAATTAATTTGGGATATGTAACCTCTAGAAAATCGTCTCGCAGCTCAATGAAACTACTGTTTTAAACGCGGGAAATCAGGACAGGTGGCATCACAGTGACGTCAGATTATTGCCTGTTACGTCCCCCCATTAGGCTCGCGTCGGCGAGGAGTCGAACAAAGAAATGAGCTAGCCCTTCTATTTATCCCTGGGTACAAGGTGCCTTTTTTTCCGTCCAGCATAATGGAAAGGAAAAGAAAATTGGTTGCCATCTATTAAGAAGTTTGGTGAGTGAATTATTCTTGACGCAACTGAAAAAAATTGTGCCAAGATAAATTTTTGAATTTCTCCATAAATTTCGCACCAAATTTTACAAAATTTAATATCTAGGCATAATTTGAGTCGCAGAATCGAAATATGGAAAAACATTTGTGCGTTATTTCAGGAAAAGTCCGATTTTGTGTCAAAATACTTATATTAGAACAATGCTTTATATAACTCTAATATAATTAAGTCGCGCTTTGGAGACATGAAAAATGCAATTTGAATTTCATCAATCGACCCAATAGAACGGGAGATGTAGAACTGTCCTCCCCCCCCCGCAATGTACGTGTTTTATTAAAAATGTAGTGAGCCCTCCATAAACGCGACCATTCACGGTTTTAAAGGATTTTTGTTGTAGATATGGTGGTCTTAAAAATGTGATATTCACTGACAATGTTTGCTTATGTCACAAAAATTGCAGGTCTCTTTCAAAAGGCGATCTCATAGAAATGTTGTCAATAGATATAGTTCACTATAATTATTTTCTAATGGATAATGGAATTAATTTAATCTAATGTCAATTAGAAAACGGCTATTTACACTAGGGAGATTTAAGAGCAAATAACTGTAATTTTTCTTTCATAATCAACTGTTATACAAATTAGCTGCTTTCTGTGTATCTTTCATGTTATATGACTGATATCCATATGTTTTTAATAAATATACAGCAAATGCAAGTCAAATTATTAAAAAAATCACAGTTTGAAACATTAATACTAATTTTCTATTACTATACGTATATTACTACAGCACAAAGTCCGAAATTTTGACATCCGTTATCCGGAATGATCTCAAATCCGGACCTCAAATCACCAACAACGTTTTCTCGTAAACTTTACGCATGCACATTTGATTCCCTCCCTCTGTGCATAATAAAACATCTGGAGAGACCCAATTCTTAACTTCACTTCGACGATATATAAAATACCTTGTTATTGAAGAACTTTGAATTGAAGTCTTTTAAGCATAAATTTGTACGATCAGTAATTTGGCTCCATCGTATCTACTTGGCACACATCTCAAAACGAAACATTCCGCATAGATACATCGTTGATTTGATGCCAACCTGGTGAATCATTATTTATTATACTTTCCTTTCATCACCACTGTTTATGAAAACATGACAACTTGAGTAATGACTCATGTAGCGATGCCTAAACAAATTTTTTATGTTAGTAATTGAATAATAAAGGAGTATGGTAACCTTTTATGTTGGCATTATGCTTGGCGATGATTACAGATTTAAGTGAAATGTGCTAAAAATGTTGACCAGGAAAAATTTACCAAAAATTTCTTTCCATATGCTAAAAACAGATTTTGTTAATTATACTCATAGACTCAAAGATTACATTTAGGGCTATCTGAATTAAGAATAACTGATTTGTTATTCACATAAATCCAGAACCTGCCCCAGGGCTCGCATGGCCACACCGGGTTGCAGAATTTAAGACCCACAGAAACTGCACCAGGCAGTAAGATATCTAGTGCCTGCCCTCAATAAGGCTTAAGTATATGTGGGAATTTACTTATTCAGAACTCTGATAAGCCTTAAGCATGTGCAAGAAATAGATATAGTATAATAAATAACTAAACTAACACAATTCAGGCTTCATTGTCTCAGTGCGCGATAGAAGAAAGATAAAATTTTAACGGAACAACTTGTCGTTAGTCACCGAGCTCAAGATGCATAGCCAAATATGTATAGTGAACGATAGCTAAATTTGATGATGATAGCAGCTAATTTTAAAGGTTTTCGGATATCGTAAAACAAAGGTGAAATTTTCCATTTAATGGATTTTGTAAAGAAATGTGGAAAAGCGGTAATAAATGACGATGATACAGTCAAAAGTTGTTAATCCGGACACCAATAATCCAGAATGATCTATAATCCGGACCTCAAAGCTACAAACTTTCTGTGCATGCGTCAACGAAAATGCGTTGACGCTTGTGCGTAATACCTTTTCGCCTGCGCATATGTGTGTACTGTTGGAAAATATGACCTATTGTAACCCTTTTTCTGCATCAT